AAAAAAAAAATATATATATATATGTAAAAAGTTATTTCAATGATTCTGTAATTTGTTCATCTTGGCTGTAAATATTAAACAGTTACTCTGAAGGCCCCAAATACCTAAAGCAACATTGAAAGAGAAGAACAAAATAGGAGGACTCAAACTTCCAGATTTTAAAACTTATTATACAGTTACAATAATCAAACAGACTGGTACTGTGTAACAATAGACACATATTGTTGTTGTTATGTGCCATCAAGTCGGACCCGACTCATAGTGACCCCTCCTTGGGTTTCTGTGTCCACTACGGAAGTAGATTGCCCCATCTTCCTTCCAAGGAGTGGCTGGTGGGTTTGAACCTCCAGCTTTCTGGTTAGCAGTCAAGTGCCGTAGGCACTATGCTACCAGAGCTCCCAACAATAGACACATAGACCAATGGACTAGAACTAAGAGCACACAAATAAATCCATACAACTATGGTCAACTAATTTTCATACGGTACTAAATCCCTACAATGGGGAAGGAAGATTCTCCTCGATAAATGATGCTGGGAAAATTGGATTTCCATATGCAAGAAAATGAAACAGGATCCATGACTCTCACCATACACAAAAGCAAACTCAAAATGGATTAAGGATCTAAATGTGTAAACTAAAACCATATAATACTTAGACAAAAATGCAGGGGTAACACTATCAGCCCCAGCTTTCAACAATGGATTATCTAATAAAATGAAAAGACATAGCCAAAGAGAGAATAAATGGGACCTCATAAAAATATAAATATTTTGTTATCAAAAGACCAGCACAATAACACTAAGGAAAAGGAAGATAAGGAGAGATGCACAAGAGGTACAGAAAACAAAAGTAAATACTTTTACATACATAATACTGTACTATCAGTAATAACAAACATTAATCTATGGGCTGATACATAGGTAGACAGGCTAAATGATCAAGTATGGCTAGGCAAAAGGGAATATATCCATGACCATATCTACATACATATTTGTATGTGCTGTAAGAATGTCCATAGACATAACAGAGCTAGCATATCTGGCAAAACTATGATACCTTCTAGGAGCTCTGGTGGCGTAGTGCCTAAGGCACTGGACTGCTAACCAGAAGGCTGGCAGTTCAAACTCACCAGCCATTCCTTGGAAAAAAGGTTGGGCAATGTATTTCCCTAGTGATATCACCTTGGAAAGCCAAGGAGGGGTAGCTATGAGTCTGAAAGGACTCAAAAGAAACAACGGCAGCCCAAATACGTTTATCAACCACTCAGAAAGGGATAAGAATAAGAGATCCTGGATAGAGTGAGGGAAAAATGTGGAATGTAACTCAAAATTATTAGGAAAAAAAAAAACACACACCAGGCTTACTGGTCTGATTGAGACTATGTAAAACCCTTGAGACTATGGGCCCTAGTCACCCTTCAAGCCTGTAACTGGACTTACTTCTGTGGCTTCCATTCAATAACAGAAAGGTCTATAAGGTGAACATTTACACCAGATAAGTTACACTCCTTAGGACAATCAACCAGGAGAGATTATAAAGGCAGCATTTGCATTGGGAGATAACTCAGAGGGCAGGAATACATAGGAAAGAAGGACACAAAGAAAAGGAAACCCCAGAGAGGAAGTGCCCAGAGAGCTGTTACATTATGCAGATTGCAATCAATCTAATGAAACAAAATGCACATGAACTGATGAATGGAAAACAAATATGCTCTATAAACTTCCAACCAAATCACAATTAAAAAAAGAAAAAAGACAAACTACTACCATCTGGGAGAATATCTTCTGAAACCCTTTATCTGATAAGGATCTAATAACAAAAATATACTCAAAAGCATATACTCAAAAGACTTGAAAGCAGAGACTCATAAACAAAATGTGGTACACACATACAAACTCTTGATAGCTATGCATGGAACTTGAAGACATTACTCTAAGTGAAACAAGTCAGTCACAAAAGGACAAATATTGTATGATCTTACTTACATAAAGATAAGAAAAGGCAAATGTATAGAGACCAAAGTTTATTAGTGGTTTTCAGGAATGGAGCGAGGGGGAGGGGGGTGGCTAACAATGAAGGGAAAATTGCATAAATTACGGATAGGGTTGCACAGCTGATTGTTGTATTTGCTGTTAATAAGTTGTATACCTGTGAATGAACAAATCTGTCTTGCAAGAAGTACTGCCAGAATGCTCCTTAAAAGCAAATATGGGACAAGTTCATCTCACATACTTTGGACCTTTTATCATTTTATCCTATAGAGAAGGATATCCTGCTTGCTAAGATAGAGGATCAACAAAAAAGAGGAGGCCCCTCAACAGACAGATTGACACCGTGGTTACAACAACGGGCTCAAACACAGCAATGATTATGAGGATGGGGCAGGACCAGTGCCAAGGTCTGTTGTACACAGTGTCACTATGAGTTGGAACTGACTTCACAGTGCCTAACAACAACACACCTTTAGAAAAGTTGAACTAACAAAATTAGTGTGATAGGAATATTTAAAACAATGATCAAAAAAAGAGTAGATGGTACAAAAATCTTACGCAATTTGGTTCCTTGGTTTGGAGGTTTAGGATCATAGTTTGAGAACATTTCTAGCTGGTTATGTAATGCTCGGAGGCTTAAAAGTTTGCAAGCAGCCATCCAAGGCACAATTGGTTTCTATTTACCTAAACGAAGGAAGGAGAGTCAGGTTAGGAGGAGGATATGGAATGTGGCTAACTGCCTCAAACACAGCTGCCTCCTTTGCCATAAGAACAGAACTGGATGGTACCCAGCTACTACTACTGAATATTTTTATCAAATATTCTATATAAG